GTGTGTGTGTGTACAGGTTTTTCCTACAACACGGGGAAAATTTTCCCCAAAAAAAAGCAGCTTTGTGGTGACCGAAGTTCATTGTGGGGACCGATACCCAGTCCCCACGGGTCCAAATGCGAATTACGGGTGGGGGTTAGGTTTAAGACCAAGGTTTAGGTTAGTTTTAGGGTCATGTAAGTACCTGTGAGGTTATTTTTAGGGTYGATGGTCAGGGTGTGTGTGCCTGTGTAAATGATTTGAGTCTCTGAAACTGTTGGGGCAGATAAAATAATAGATGAGTGAGATTCAAAACAGCAAACCACAGACTGCTAATGTCGAGACTTTTGTGAAGTGAAGCAGACCTTTATCTCTCCTGAGGAACTCCAGCAGAGTGCGTATCGCAGCCACCGCAGAGGCCATGTCCGGGTCTTTCCTCATCTGAGCCCTGAAGTACTCCACCAGCTCTGTTCCGGACCACACAGACACACTGAGTCCYAACCACACACAAGTTAAAACACGACAGGACACGGGACGCAGAAAAGTAACTTACCCTCGTCGTTCATCACGAAACTCACAACGATGCCTCAAAACGTCAGTTTGTAAAGTCCAACCTTTTTTAAAAACAATATTTTAATAATCAGACAGCTGAGACACGAAACCGCTGCTAAACTAGTTTCATTTAATCTAGAATACTTAAAACAAACGTTTTCTTTTTTGGTGTATTTTTTAATCAATATTCTATTTCTGACACTTTTATAAATGAACGAAAAAACGTTCGGAAATATCTGTTTGGACAGTCTTGTATTACCTGCGTGTTGATGTGTCGCAGAGAGATGACGTAACTTCTTCTTCCTCTTGGGTTCTTTMTTTTCGCTGTTGGCAAAAAAAGCCTGAAAGGTGCCTTACCGCCACCTACTGGTGTGGAGTGTGGACTGGATCAGCGCTCAAAAGAAAAAAACTATATTCTTTCAATTAATCGAGTTTGTTTCAAGTATTGTATTAAGGCTTGGGTTGTTTCAGGTTTTGAATTGTTCTGTAATAATTCTATAAGATCTAATCTTGTTTTCATTTCAGTGAGTCTGTTAGTTGATTTCTTTCATTTCTGTATTTTTGACGTGTTCCACGTCCTCATCTTCTCCACAGTACTCACATTTTCCTGTATTATGTTTTCCTATTATAAATAATGTTTTGTTTAATCCAGTGTGTCCAAATCTGAGCCTTGACATAACTGTTTCCTCCATTCTGTTTCTCCTCATTTCTCCTGTTTTCCGTTGAATTCTATAAAACCATCGGCCTTTTCTTTCTTCCTCCCACTGTTTTTGCCATGTTTCTCTCATTTTTAGCTTTATAATGCTTTTTAATTTTGATTTACTGAATTTTATTTCTATTTTGACTACATTGTTTTTGGTAGTATGTTTGCTATTTTATCTGCTTTTTCATTTCCTGTTATTCTGATATGTGCTGGTGTCCATAAAAAAGTCACAACTAGTCCCATCATTTTAATCCTGTATAATTTTTGTTGTATTTCTATTAATATATCTGGACTACTTTCTGAACTGTTATTGTTTTGAATTGATTAATGGAGAGCTGGAATCCGAACATATAATTGATCGGAGTGGTTTATTATCCTCAATCCATTGAACAGCTAGTAATTATTGCTATCATTAGTGTGTATACTGATAATCAGTGTGCATTGCCAATGCAATGCACACTATTGTGATTCGTTTCCCATCCAAGTCATCTCAACTTTGCCATGCTTCTCCTCCTGCATACTTTTTCCTAGAGCTGCCATTGTAATTTAAGTCTGTAAAGCTCCTGTGCCAAATTATGGCTATGCCTTTTGGTGCCTGTAAAACTTATAGTTTATGAAATATTAATGTTTAATGAATTATAATGGCAGTCAATGGAGCCTTGTATTGGTCCAATACTGCCCCATGCTGTACACAACTTGGTACTGCACCATAGTTTTTTAATATTTAATCTCAATAGTTCAGTGTTTCCAATACTACTGTAATATGATTGTATTTTGATGCTTTACTATAATATTGTCTTAATACTGCTCTGTTGTTGTAATATTATGCATTTTTGTGTCAATAATTGTATTGACAATGTGGCCTCTTTCTGCACATATACAAATGAACCCCTGCCACCATCTTCTGCCACAGCTCCATTGGTCTAATGGTCTATGTCATGGACTTTCATGTGGGAGATCAGTGTTCAAAACCCAGCTAATGCAACTTTAACAAAAAAATCTATTTGAATTTCATATTGACACACAATTACCTTAAATACAAACACCTGCTGATGTGACAGGCACAAGCTGGTATAGAAAACACATTTGAACTTGGTCACAGTTCATTCTGCAAGTCCAACGCTGCAGGCAAAGCCATGCTACATGGCAATGCACACTTGTTTTTACATCGTAAAAACCCATGTCTAGTTTATCATTGATTCTTTTCCTTACTTTCARTCCAAACTCTGGTATGATGAATGCTACCCCGACTCGATCTACTGTATCCTTTGATGCATCTGTATTTATTTTTACATATCCATACTATTGATTTATATATTCTATACATGCATCTGAGTTTATATTATTTTTATTTCCTTTTTTCCCTAATAATTTCAAATCTACAGATGGTTCTGTGAACCATCCAACCCTCCAAGCCCCAAGCCCACCTGCAGCCCAGGACCACACCTGACGGCCTGCCCTTCCTCCGGACTTCCTCCTCAAATGGCAGTCGGGGAACGGGGTGGGGTGGGGGGTGTGGAAAAGACCCTGACACACACACACACACACACACACACACACACA